TCAAACACAAACACCGCCATCGTATCATCTTAAAACCTTCCTGAAACAATGTTCATAATCAAAGATACATCAAGAAACTCTGTCCTCTGGTATACAAATGACAGTTATGAGTTGATGAATGATTTTCAGATAGTTGGATTGTGTAATCATTCTTGAGAGAATTCCAACAGTATTATTTGCTTGCTATTTTCTAGTTGTGGATCAGTAGCGAAGCCAGCTCATTTTTTACTCCCACAATGCAAATATTTTTGTGTTCATTCAATGGAAAAGCTATGAATGAGATTCATTTTCTAAAGAAATCAATAATTTTGCTTATAATGAAAGTTGCAATGAAAAAATTTCGCTGCAATTTTGATACACTCTTTAAAACATGTGAAATAACAGATTTTTGCAGAACAGCATATAAAACTACACAAATCAAAGATTTCTTCTGGCCATGATGTCTGCACAAAGAAAGAGCATGCAATTGACATGCCGTGCTAAATATATAGTTACCCGTTACGGCTATTGATTGTGCCCTAGTAGCTACTAGGCACGTTTATATCCATATATAAGTATGTTTGCTATTATTAGGTTAGAACAATTTGGTATGTCCATGATCAAACTGTTCGTATTAAAGCAAACTGTGAACAGAACGAGTACAAATACCACCGTCCTAAGATCGTAAGTGTTAAAGGAGCACAACTCTTTCCTTAACAATATTTACAAACAAGGATATATCAAGGAATACAAGCAACATTCAAGGAAATTATTGAGGTGCGTCATATTTGTGTATTGGCTGTACTTTTAGAGGCTTACTGCTACTTTTACTGGTAAAACTATAATTTATTTATAAATGTACGTCAAAAATTATATAGCAACTATCGAAATTCTTACAAAATTATCCATTTGTGAATAGTATAATTGAAATACAACTGTTTTATTTAAAGACTGCATTTTAGCTTCACAACTATTAAATGAAGCAACGGATAGCGTCATGTTTTAGTGAGATATTTTTGAAATGAATGTCCTCCAAATAAAGAAAGCCAAGTTATGAATGTTGTCTGATATATCGATTTGACACCCTTTAGTTGGGACAACGCAGGGCTATAGTTCGGACGACAATGAGAAGATTTTTCGTAAAAATAGCTTAATACATACGCGAGATAACATTCATTAACTAAAAGTTGACTGGTTGTAGGCACGGATTTCTAAAAAAATCAGTGATGTCCTTTAAGGGCAGATAGAAAGTTATGAAAGTTGTGTTTACTTGCGGTTGTTTTGGATTTCTGTGGATAGCCGCGGGGCATTCCGTTCGAGACTTGCAAGCACCGTACGTGTGGTATTGTCTACATAACGTCAAATAACAATGAGACTTGAGACGTGTCAAAATATGAGGAGAATACTTGCAACGTGGGAAGCTTTTGCAGTCAAACAACGTTATTTGCAAAGAATGGTCGAAAATATAGTTTTTTTAAATTTTATTACCAAAGAATTCACAGTAAAAGGTATGCAGTGGTAAAAACAGCAAAATCGAATGTCTTAGCTCCTGTTTTTGAAAGAGATTTTGAAAATTGTCTCTGCTAAATCTTCCTGACAGATATGATCCAATTTTTGATAGTTTGGTTCTTATTCAGCATGCAGTTTTAATACTCTAGAAATACATACTTATTGTGAGGAGCAGTTTATGAGGCAATGACTGATAACCAATATTATTAATTTATAATAATTACGTATAATCTATTTACTCAATGACTGCGGTGTTGGCATTTTTCTAGATTACGACAGTGTTTTTTCTTTATAATAATTCTCGATCAAATCATTCGCATAACTTCTGGGAAAATATGGATGGGCTCTTCGTACTCAAAAACCGTCGCCTGTCAAAAATCGAGCTTAAATTATGCAGCCATTTGGCCTACTTCACGTAACAATGCAGGGGCGGATCTAGAGTATGTCAAATCCGTCGCGCGACTGATGTTTGAAATTCAAAAATTACCTATTCATATTAATTAAAAATTCATTAATTATTCTTACTTTATTATCGCATTTACTTCGTGATAAAAATCCAGCTTTATTTATTATTGAAAACTAACGACTAATCCAATGAATATCTCGTTGGTAACCAGATCAGTTGAATTTTAATTGACCTGGAATAACCATTGAGTTCTATAATAACTGGAGCGGCTATCTCAAGCGCGGCCTTAGATATCTGGTGACGCCAAAAAAATGGCGGATTTCGTCCGTTGCCGCTGAGATTTACCGAAATTGACCGCTTTTCCGAAAATTTCACAATTTCCCACTCCCTCCTGATGAAAGAGTGAGGAAAATGTATGTGTGTATTTGGGATTCGGCAAGCAATTTTTTGATGAAAATCACGATAAAAACCTACAATTCGTAACAGCGAGTCAACCTAGCTTTCCAGTTATCGGCTCCTACGAGGAAAGATATTAACTATAAACTATGTACGAAAGAACTCTTTGTTGGCTGCGTTTGAACGTTTTTAAACGTCGTGTCTAATGTACATGTGGACGATGTGGACGATGTGGTCTCTTTTCAAGGTAAGGAGAAAGTCTTAAAGCCATGTCCAGCCGACAATTTAAAAAAGATAGTAAAAAACAAATTCTGAAGAAACGAGATATCTCGAGATGAAAAAATGTGAATGAAAACAAAACGCGAAGTGAACTGTAAAATTTCGATTTATTTCAAAGTCATCCTCAGACAGAATGATAATCCAAACCATGCATACACATATATATTTACAATGAATGAATTAAGTAACGAAAGTCAAGCAATAGAAATTAAATAGTTTGATATTTACGAAAGCGGAGTTGGAAGAGCTGTCATATTTTAAAAGGATGAATTGAAACAAGAGACCAGACTGGTGGAATGAGTGTATTGTAATTTAAGAGAAGAGTTGTAATTCTTTGCTAGCCTTAAGTCCCGTGTTAAGAAACCATTTCTTAATATATGTGTATGCATGGTTTCGATTATCATTCTGTCTGTGGATGACTTTGAAATAAATCGAAATTTTACAGTTCATGTCTTGTTTTGATTCACATTTTTACATCTCAAGATGTCTTGTTTCTTCAGAATTTGTTCTTTACTTAACTCTTAAAGAGTACTCTATAGTCATATTTATGTCAATGTGGTAATGTATATTAGTGAAATCAGACTAAGTTACACAACATATTTGCAATAAGAATTTTCTTTTAATGAAGTTTTGAGAAAAAAAAACAATATATAATCTTTTTGTATTTCTGCTAAAGATGACTAAATGTCAAAAAAAAATATTTAAAATTTATTTCCTTGTAAGGTTTATTGTACAGTTGCTGCAATTGTTCAGCACGTTTTTGACTGGTGGGTTTCCTTCCCTACACTGCTTGGCAACATGGCCCAATCTTTTGCATATGTAGCAACGTCTTCCTGTTAAATATTCATAAGGAAGTTGTAGTTCATGACACTTTTTATTTGTTTGTGTCATTAGCTTATTTCTGTTAACAATAATGCATGCAACTTGAAGTTTTCAACCATCTAATCACGCTGATGTTTTATCACTAGGTCAATCAAACTTACTTCTTCTCATACGATTAAACTCTACAAAAAAAAGTATATAATTGTCAATTACAATGGTCATGAAAGAAATGTTATTTCATTTTTTGTCATTACTTTTCTTGCATTCATTCATTTTGTGGCCTTTGTGGCCACAATTATAGCATCTTCCTTCATTAAAAAAAGCAATGGCAATTATCAGCCAGGCATCAAAGGCAATTAGTACATGTATACACTATACCACACCTTTAAATGAACTTTTTGCTTCGACATTGCTTTCTAAATAAACAAATCGTTTGTTAGGTGCTGTTTGATTTGTTATGTGTATGATTAAATTTCAGGTTAAAAGACTCTTGGTGAAAAGACTCATGGTGAAAAGACAAAAGTATCATGAGAGAGCTGATGGGCATATATCATATATGAATGAGAACAGTATTGTATACAAAGCACTGTTTACCTTCTTTATTTTTTTGGTTTTCAGAATTGGAGCCACCTCAAATAGTAGTAGATTTTTAGCACATTTTGATGCATTGTTGTATTGTGTAATAAAGCAAAAAACAATCATTAAACAGTATAACCATTTTTGGCTAAATACACACTTGCATTTTCGTTATATTCCTCTTCAGTTTCCTGACCTGTTTTGAATGCAATTGAACTATTTGAGTGATTTTCAGTTTTCAAAACAAAAACAAATTTTTTACACATTTGATACCAGTGTCCATTGCTTTTTCGTCATCTGTATAATCTAGCATCTGGTGTTTTTGTATGCAAAAAACGATAAAGTGTAAATAGATATTTTGCAAGAAGGGATTTAAACCATGTAAATGAATCACTTTTTGTTTACTTCCATGCTGAAAGCTTCATATAAAGCTTTTCAGATCAGAAATTATTAAATTATTGATCTGTACTAACCTCTTTTTCATCCATGGACCACAATAGAAAGTTGGCAAATACAATAAAAACAAGAAATAAGCAAAGGTAAATTCAGACAAGTTTTAAAAATATTTATAGTATTTAAAAAAAGCGGGAAAAAAATGCAAATGACAAACGCCAATGCTGTATTCTGATTGGTTAACAAATCAAACTTTTTTAACTATGAAGAACTAAATATTGCATTGAATTTTAAAGTTTTTATAGTTTGTAAGAGATGATTCCCATGATAATATACATGTAAATTTAGCGTGCACAAATCGTTAATTGCTGTATCAGTAACGTTGAAACAGGGTGTAAATCCTGGAGAGGGATTGATATGTGGTGGCTCAGCCTCTCCCTTCAAAAAGTTAGCAGTTTTGTCGAGCAAAGCATGTAATTTTGCGGAAATTAAAACGGCAAATATTAACGATGACGTTTGGATCAACTCATAACTAAGTAAAAAGCGATTTCGCTGGTATTAACATACAAAATTACACTACGTTTTTGTTGGGCAAATCAAATTCTGCAACGTTTCCCCTCTCCATTCTCGAGACTCAAGTCACACCCCTGCATTCAAGTAACATTCTTCTAAATTTTTTTTTCAAGTTATTCGAAGTTTAACCATTGGCTTTTTACAAGTCAAGAAACTATATAAACAATGTGAACTCATTGAACTATAAGGTACAAAAAAATGTTAAAGATAAAATGTTACGCATCATGAACGTTGTTCAAGGACTTCCGCATTCAGATCATCCCGGCAATATTCATAATGTCACCTGTAAGTTAAACACGTGCGTTTAATATTGAGTAACGTTTATTTTTAAAAGAACGTTAACAATTCATTTATCAATTGACAGACTGGTTTAATTTTGAAAAAAGCACTTACTACAACGCTCGATCTGATTGAAAGTGCTATCAATGTTAGGACCACAAAATAGTTTTCTTATGTCGTCCAATTGGGCTGTTTTGTTGAGTATTTTTTCTGTATAAAAAAAATAGTTCAAAATGAATATTGTGCTATTGTGGTTCTATGTTCTACTATGTTGTAGAGGAATACTCACATAGAAGACTTGCATTTCGAATTACTTCTCATTCTTTTTAATTGTTTAGTTACGTAAACTAGGTTATAATTTCATGTTACATTTTTAAGCCTCGAACACAAATGTGCAGGCACCATTAAATTTCTCCTCGAAACACATATTGCTATGTGCCAGGACGCCTACAGCCTCAAAAAAATGGAATAGTCAAATGAAAAATTCCATTTCTAGGCACAGGCAAAGCCTCGAAAACACAATAGTGTCCAGGCAACGTTCAATCTACTGATGATTGAACAACACAAGCTTAGACAGCTTTTTACGAATTTTCTGACTATGCAACTTATCGTTTTGCGTTTTGGTCAAGTGATGCATTCTTATTTTCACAAATGCCTCAGCACAACACTTTATCAGTTTATAAGCATGATTATCTGTAACTGTCGACTCTAACACATGCTCATCTAACATGCTAAAACTTTTTCTCACACACAGATAATACCGTCGCAGCAATTGCACTCGATATGTTTGCTGCATGTGGCAAGCCACCATGGCAGGAATTTACCATCCTCATTACACATTTCTCTGTTTCCTGACACACTTTCAGAAGATCGTCAGTTGGTATTTTTAAACCACCGTTGCTCTTCCATGCCACAAATAGTTCTGGTGCTCTTTCTTTAGATGATGTCAGAGCATCCATACAATCATCACAATGGATCTTCCTTTTCACCATTTTTGCGACATAGCCAGCAATATACGATATTGCTGCCTCCTTGTAGTCTGAAAGCTGAATGTAGTTTGAGGTGTCGCTGTAATCGTGGTCAGTTTGTTCTGGCCCACGCAGTTCTAGATCGTATCTTCTTGCAGTATTTACATCGGAAATATCTGCCGACATTTGTTCACTCTCACACCGATCTTCTAGTCTACTTAGAATTTCGGTACCATCCTGAGCAACACAATTTCCATGACCTCCTTTAATGTTATGTCGCATCAACAGCTGCTTGTACGCTGCTTTGAACTGTCGAGATGTCGGGTTGTTGTTCCAACCTCCTGACGCTCGCACAGCTGAAAAACAATTCTAAATGATCTTGACTTGTCTTATAAGTAAGCAAATATTTAAGGGAGAATTTTCACTTATAACAAGATCCTCAGCAAGCCCTTGCACTGCTTCAATGCACAACAGAAACCCCAAGAATCCTGTTTTCCTCTTATGGGAAAAATCGACTTTCCATCAGCACCCTTCAGATTTAAGATGTATTGCCTTGCTTCATCCAGGAAGGTTTTATCAGCTTGTAATTCGCTTTCCTTATTGGTGCTTTGTAATTTTAGAAATTGGATTCCTGGAATTCAAAACGTCAAACAAGCGATCAAATACTCGAATGAATTTGACTGTTTTATCACACCCTTTAAACTGTGGAAGTTTGAGCTTACCTTCACAGAACTCTAAAGCATCTGCAACACTCGAGCTGAGTGCTTGCACTGCTAAATTACCTTCATTTTCTGTGGCTTCCAGTTTATGTGAGCTTTCTTTAGTTGTTGGCAAGTCGCAAGCCCTCTGAGGCTTGCAGTTTTCTAGCTCAACTAAGTATTGCCATCTTACCAAACCATCTTTTTCATCCTTCAGAGTTCTCAATTCAGAAATTGCTCCTCTGACAAGCTTGATCATATGACAAGGATCTAAAAATGCATGAATTTTCAACATTAAATCAGATGGATGTAAAAAAATATACTTGAAAATCATTAAGTGAAAGTTTCACTCCAAGCAACTTCATCATTGCAAGGTGTGTGGATGGACCATCACACGTTAAACTTCCAACTTTAACACCAACATCATGCAACTGCATCAAACACTCCTTGGTTAAATTTGCTTTTACTTCTGCAGTGAGGCCATCTACCAAGAAGTAACCAACTGGTACTTTCCAGGATGAATCTAGAGCAACAGCCATGTATACCAAAACTTCTTTTGCTTCAGGGAGTGAATCATCATCAATCCCAGTACCAAGGTCAACATAACCACAAACTTTTTTTGACCATCCCATTCTACGTGTTTGCGGATTGACATTTCATCCAGCATCAATGCACATATGACTTCCTTGCCATCTTTCTTTGCTTCTTGAACCTTCACTTTCAAAGCATTCAAGGCATCTTTGGTGAAACCAGGGTCACCATCCATGGAATTATACCAAGATCGAATTACTCTTGGATGAGGTAAGGCTAAATTAAACTTCTCACGAACATAATCATAAGCCTTAGGCGAGTAAAATTTCAAAGTTAGTGCAAAAGCTTGCAATTCTGGGGGGGTATTGAGCACCTTGTTTACCCTGAGTGTTTGCCACTAAACGACTCAAAATATCTTCAGGAACCCCAGATAGTGAAGCATTAAGAAGTTCAGCTTGATCAGAGCTGATCATTTTATCATCTTTAAGGCAATCAATGATTGACAATAAATCATTTACCTTCTTTTTCAGTCTACTTTTTTCTTATTAGACACTTTTAACCTCTTTCTATAAGACTCTGCCCGGTCTATAACATCTTCCAATTGTCTTTTCAGTCTCCTGGGAGACTTAAGACAATATGAGTGATCATGAATAGAAAAATGACCACTCACCTTTTCAGTGCTCTCCGTGCATTCAACATCCTGCACCTGTTGAAATAATGTGGGCACGGCACTATCTTCTAGACACACTTTGTTACCTGTTGTTCTCTTCATGCTATCGGAAAATGATCTGAGCAAACTCTGCTCCACTTAGTTAGAACTGTGAGAGGCGACCATTTCTTTATACTATTTACCCATTCCGAAAAAGTGCAGGGTTTTTTCTTCGTCAGGAAAACTATTTGAAATAGATTAGTAAATTTATTGCTTCATGCGTTGATTCAACAAATAAATAAAAAATTGTTGAATTTTGTAAAAACACACATGAAAACATCAGTGTATGCAGTATTTAAGAATTTTTTTCATAAGGCCTAACAGATTTTGGGGCTTTCAATTGTATAAATGCCGATTCAATCTTTAAGGAACAAACAATATAAGCGAATAACTCACCTGTGAAAAGCGATGTCCTTCGTGTTGTCAACATTACGACATTCTACGATTGAACATCGATTAGGCATTTTGAAAAAATATTGTTTTGGCCTTGAAAATATTGTTTATTTATCATACAGCTCGCAATTGAATTTGAAATTTTCAACTGAAGGCGGGAAAATCAATAACATCAATCCGGGGGAGGTCGAGAATATTATTTTTCTGCAAAGCGATCATTTCAGCGGAAATACGTCCGTTGGCCGCCATTTTATTGGCGACCTCGCCCCAGTAAAGATAGCCGCTCCAGTTATTATAGAACTCAATGGGAATAACCGACTGATAGGAGTCTATGAACGCCAAAAACGCTTATTTTATTGGTCAATGGCCAGATCAGCGGACAGTCTGGAATGGTCTCGACTGATAAGAGGGGTGGCTGGACGTATAAGGTAGTCCAATTGCTATCTTACAATTGGTTCATTTGAATTTTTGTTTTATTGTGATTGGTTTGACGGATTTCGACTGATAGCCAACTGAACTAACATAGTCAAGCTCACTGTCTGAATTGAATGTTTGATCGTTTCATAGTAATTTTTATAAGCATGATAGAAACTAAACTACAATCAGATGGAATTTATGGAAATCTTTTACAAATTCATATATTGACATGAATGCTGCTGTCCAAACTGTGAATTTTTTCAAGAGGGTGAAAAATTTATGGATAAATTGTAAATGCTTGGCAAAGACGATATCGCGAGTGACATTTCAGTCATTGATGTTCAAAAGAAAGCCAACTTTGTTTTGAGTTTTATCAGCAGAAATTTACGTTCAAAATCGTAAGTAAAGGACAAGTGAAGTGTATGCATGAATGTAATATATCAAAGTCAATTTATGCGAGTGTGTGATGCGATTTATGTCAATATGGCGTATGGTAAGCAGATTGATGCTTCTAAAATTGTTGTTGCCGAAGGATTTTAGCTATGATTTCTCTAGTGCTTGGGGAATCGTGGCCGTTATATGGCAGCGAAATTCTACATTCCTGCAAATATATTTCAATGGACAAAAAATCTGTAGCCATAAGGCGCCATACTATTATTTACTTTATCATAAACAAATGTTTGGGGCTTTTCAGTTTATGATCATTGATCATTCAATAATTATGATCATTGGACAGTTATACTACATATTGTTTAAGATTTGAGAAAACTAACATTGATTACATAAGAAGCTGTTTACTATAACCTGTGATTTTGAGTCTTCTGATCCATGAAGCTTTTTATTTTGACAATTTGACTGGAATGGTATTAAACCTGAGTATTTCACATACATGAAATGTCCCATGTCACATATTGTCCCCTTTTCTAACTGGAAACCTCATGTAGAGATGTAAAGGCGTGTTAATCTCTGGCTCATACCAGATTGTTTGCCATAAATTCCAAAGGGCTATTGATGTATGAAAAGCATTTTCTATAAAGTAAAAATGTCTTCCTATGTATGCAGATAAACCTTGAAATTTGGCAAAACAGCAAAGTATTTTTCATGATCACTAGGTAATTTTTCTGATGATCATTATATTTTATAATTTCAAAACTAAATTATTTCAGATTTACATTTAAACGAGCTTTGATCATATGAAAAGATATTTATCATAACCAGTAAGCATGACACATGAACCAATTTTAACATTCATGTAATTATATAATTAAAGACATGTTGGTTACATTCTGTTTGTATTTGCAAATACAATGCTACTAGTGATTGCTATATAGCACACCTTGGAGAAGATAATAGTCTAGTGAAATGCCTAATAAATATTTGTGGCATTAAGCTGTCCTTAACTGCAAATTTTCACTCTGATAATTTTTGCTTAATCTTTGGCAGAAAAAAATTTTGAGTTTTTTCTCAAAAGATGAATTTGCTGGCACTGATGTGGAGATGGGTTAAGGGTTACAATAAACTTGCATGGTTTGAAGTCTGAGCTTTTCTATATCTATGAACTGTCACTTGAAGTAACAAATTTCTAACTTAACTCAATACATAGAAGTTTGAATGGGGGTCTCTAGGGGGGTCTATGCCTGACAACTTGGTTGAAATTTTTAAAGACTATATCTGTTTTTAAATAGCATTATTGTAAAATAAATTTTACGTTCCTAGACATGCTAATGAGCCATATATTTGGCATGATAATAAGCCTAAACATTTGGCAAAACATTCAAGTATTGTTCACTTCATATTTTTTTTGAAAAAAACGTAAGCAAAATATGTTGTTTTTACGCAAAAACGATACGAACAAAATATATTTTGTATTGCTCTAAAACGCTGAAAATGGCATTTTCAAGGCTCTGAAATTCAAAATTTCTCAGGGGAGAATGCCTCATACCACCCCAGGTGCGGAGCGCCTCCCACGTTTTATGACTGATGTTTGAAAAATCCTAGATCCGCCCCTGTAACAATGAGCTAAAAGCTACGCTGTCTATTGGCCGACACATTGACATACATACAGATTTCGTGTAAATTCTGTACAAAGCAGATACAGGATGTTTTCCAAACTTTGTGGCAAGAAATATTACTGTTTAGTTGCACTCTCTTAATTATTGCATAATAACTTTGCAATCATGGTTTTCAAATTTAAAGATAAACGATTGCCATTTGCAGCATCGTGGTAAATGTTTGGTCATAAGTATTTGCTGAATGACAGCTTGAGCGTGATTAGGGTGTCTAGGGCTAAATGTTATCTTAGTGTTATCGGTGCGCCTTTTCAGAATGCCCCGTTCCCAAACACAATTTAGGTCGACTTTCTTGTACATTGTTCACGTCGTGCGTGTTTTGAAAGTTTCTTAAAGAAATAAGTGTCGTGATGGCCTCGTACCGGTAAACAAAGATGAATAAAATCTCTGCTTGAATTTATGTAAATGAGATCGAGTGAAAGATAGGGGGAGTGGTTATTAAAATCGTTAAATGACATGCTTCGTCACTTTTTGATATTCAGGTTAGAGACGAGAAAATGGTCTCAACAGAAAAGAAAATTGCCATATTGTCGTTCGATGGTGGAGGAAGTAAAGGTGTGATGGAATTGAAAATATTGGACGACATATTTCGATTAGTAACGATTGTGTCAACGAATCCTGAAAGGGTAGACTACCTTGTGAACGAAGACATTGATGAAAATGAAGTAAATTTCTTAGAAGATGAAAGCGTTCGAGAGCGTCTGATCAAGGACATGGAAGCAGTTAAGCATCCCATTCATCCCACAGATGTTTACGATATGATAGTTGGTACCAGTACAGGAAGTTTGATTGCATTTGGTTTAGTTGGAGGAAATAAAGTTGGAAACGACCATCATGAAAGGAAACGGATGACTATTGAGGAATGTATTCAGATGTATTGTGCAAAAACTAAGATGATATTCAAGAAGTCATGGTTACACCACGTTTTCTCTCACGCACCTGGATTATCTCGCGTTCCAATAGTACCATATTCACAATACAGCGTTAAGCAAACCCTGTATGATCTGTTTGGTGATTGCAGCTTAAATGATATGGGAGGAGAGAATCCTTTGAAAAACATAGCGGGAGCTGTTACAAGAAAACTTGGTAAAAACGAAGATCTCGTACTGTTTGATACAGCAAGTAAAGACTACCTGGATTACAAGGCCTACGAAGTCTTGCTTGCATCCTCAAATGCTCCAGTTTACTTTGACACTCCAGTCGTAATTGGCAATGCAAAATATGTAGACGGATGTGTCGGCGGAAATTGTCCTTTGGCACCAGCAATCCCGCGAGCAAAGTTACTATTTCGAAAAGATGTTGAACACGTAAACATAGTTTCTGTTTTATCAATTGCACCTCCCTCGTCTCCCAAATGGGAAATTCCTTCTAATGGTGGTCTTTTGAGTTGGTTACGGTATTTTGTGAAAGTGTCAACTGATGGAAACTCGGTGTTCAACGATGTTGTTAACCAAAATCGACATAAGAAAACTTTGTTTCAAAGGTTGTCGCCGCGTGGTAAGAGCTTAAAAAAATTCAAGCTTGATGAAATCAATCCCAAAAGATGTTAAAAGCCATGGAGAGAAGCTTGAGAACGACATGTTTCTCGTTGATGTTGTTGCCACTGCAATGGTTGTCGTTTACACGTCTATTGAGAAAGGAGAAAATGATCAGAAATCCACGTTGAGTGTTGCGGCACAACTTGCTTACTCTGCTGGATGTGCTTACGAAAAAAGGAAAGAATATGAGTCGGCAATCTTTTCGTACCAAAGGAGCAAACGTTTGCAAAAGAAAGTCAGCAGCGATCTCACATTGTTAAGGATTACTAATAAAATTGCAAACTGCCATAAAAATCAGGAAAACTTTCAAACAGCAATAAAAATATTTAAATGTAACGTATGCGATCTACTTCGCTATCGAGATGATCCTAAGAGTGATGATCTACTTATTGATGCCTTGAATGAAATAACAAAATGTTACTTGGTAACTTTTCGTTATTGTGATGCGGAAATGTATTTAAATAAAATACTGGCAAATGAATATTTCGTTAAGAAACGCATCGTCGAAAAGGAGAAATTTGTACGTGCTTTGGCAAACATGGCATGGTGTAAGCAGGAACAAGGAAAACTTGAAGAAGCTGTCGACCTTTACAATGAAGCAGCCACACTTGTTGCAGACAACTATAATCTTGACCAGGCTCTAATACTTGATAACCTGGGATTATGTTTCTTGAATCTTGGATTGAAGAAAGAAGCCCTCGATTTTACTCGGCAAGCCCAAACGATGAGAAGTGAGTTAATTCCCAGCGTAAACCATTCTTTTGTTGGTCGATCTCTTTTGAATGTTGGGCTCTGCTTGATTGAGTATGGTGATTACGTCGGAGCGAGAAACTGTTTAGAGAATGCCAAACAAATATACGAAAAAATTGGCTTAAAAAATTACATTTCCATTGTTTTGAGAAATTTAGCAAGATGCTTGTCTTTAGAAAAACCATCAGATTCCAGTTTTGCTTTGGTGTGCGCACAACAAGCTCTAGAAATGATGAAGGAACGTGTCCTTAACGATACTAATAATCCTGGGATTGCCATTACCTTAGCAGTTGTTGGTCTCTGCTTTTTCAAAGCTGGAAGACTTGAAGAAGCAAAGAAAAATCTTTTGAAGGCCTTGGACATGATCACAAGTTTGTTTTCAGAAAATCATCCATGGTTAGTTGAAGTTTACCAGCTGCTTTACATAATGTATAAAGAAGACGGAAAGTTGGAGCAGGCTGAAGATTTTAGAAAAAAAATGAAGAAGATAGCCTGCGAGATAAATGTAGTAGCCAAGAGAATTCAAGAAACAAATAAATTAAGATGGAAAACTCCTAGAGATATTTTTTACCAAAGGGAAGCAGATATTACGTGGGTTTGATGCAATGTAGTTATTTATAATCAGTTTTCTAACGCCAGAAGTACACATGTCAGTTATTTAAAGTGATCTTATTATGTGTCGGGCTATTCGATCTGCTTAGCAACACTTGCAAGTATGACTATTCCATAAATATAGATTATAGGAAATATAGATAATAGTTTGGTTAAGGAAATAAGGATATTTTTCTCATTAGCCAACCAAACACATGCATGAATGTCTATAAAATTTCACTGTATTTAATACACCAAATTATAACCACCAAATTTTTGTCACTTTATTTTCAAAAACACCATGCAAGCAATAGCATCGCAAAGCTTCTTATGAAAATAAAATAGACCTGGGTAGATGAAACTCATAATACACACAAGTAGATGTAGCTGGCTTATTTGGTTTGATTTAGGAAACAATTTGCTACTTGGTTAATATAACTTTCAAATCTAAATATGCTGCTGTCTTATGTGCTTTACATGTGCTTACCTGTTGAGCTCTTTTATTTAAATAAATTAAGCATTTTATTTTCAAAAGCTAGCCATTGTTTTCATTTGTTATACACCCTGAGTTAAACTGTGCTAAAATTGAAACTTATATTTTAGATGTAGCTGGTACCTTTGGTTTTGAACTTAAATTGCATTTGCAATATTTTTTGATGATATGGCGGAATTAAAGAGTTAAAAATCGAGTGTCTTTATGAGGAAAAAAGCAACTTGGACACACTGATTATATATTGAGTAATAACATTGAGAAAAATTTCTCCGTCGTTGACGGGCAGGTAAGAGTTGCTTCGTTGAGAACCGTTGTAATACATGTATTGTCATTACACCCACAAAACTAATGTTTTTTACGTCGTATAGAGATCTCGAAGAATTATCTTTACCTGCAATCACTTTACGTAGAATTGATATTGTGTTTGAAAAAAGGCAGGTGCATGTATATTTTGCGAAGATTTTTTCATTCATTTAGAAATGCCAACTGTCCTGACTGTTAATGATCTACATTTACAAATAGCAAATTGCAAATAAAGACTAACAGCTTGGCGATCTTTCTGAATTTGATTCATGAATTCCTTCTAATAAGGAAGATTCTGTGGAGGATATTCCAGTCCTGCAAACAACTTGTGAAGACGGTTTGCAAACTTCGGGGCTTCGTTGACGTCACATGTGTCTCAAAATGTCGACATCGAGGAATTTGGGGTTTCCTAAAAAAGTTTCTACACATTATGCAATTTTTGTAATGAAAAAGATCAAGGCACCCAAACTATAATCGGCTCGTACAAGAGTAGAAAAGCCTACTTGAAGAAAAAAAAGCAGAGAATAAAAGGTTATTTGAAAATATAGAAATAACTACCAGCCGAGCTGAACATGAGATTAACATTGAGAGGGATAAAAAGCTTTACCAAGAGCACATGCAAAAAAAAGGACTTAGTGCATGCACACTTTTTAATAAAACTATCTCTGTTAGATGTTGTGCTATGCTCAGGTTTAATGTAAATTACTCAATAAATTCATTTTTTTTGTATTGTAGGATTGAAGAAGAACCAGGTTGCATAATGAGCCCCATTTTTATGCTTGAAAACTTAATGCTCAAGTGTAGCGATATGGCTCCATGGCAATATATTTACACAAATTTGTAGCATGTATCTGAAGGAACCACACGATAGCCAACCTGTGGTTTTGGAAAAGCAACCAGCTGAAAAAGTTACAAGTATTGGGATCATATCTGGGATCAATATTAGTCAGTGAACAGCATTGAAATTGGTCCAGTTCAAATTAGTTCAGGTTTTGCTGTTGAGCGTCAGCGAGGCAGCACACTATTCTTGACAGTCAATTCACTCGACCCATTTTTTACGCGACCATATATTCGTGAAATCTCCATTTGGCATGTGTCTGTTAAGATTTTTCCAGGGCATGACGTCACAATTTAGAAGATATTTTAATGTGGGGGAGTGGATAATAAAAATGTTAAGTTCCGCACGCATGTTTTTTTGTTGATAAACATTTGTAACGAACATAAAGAAAATTTGCAAAGAATACTAATAATAGCAATAGTATTTTTTTAACGACTGCTGATTTGCGTCAACTCGGTTCGAAAAGCAATGCGCTTTCATGTTATTAGCGGCTGTTTTAATGGCACGAACATTTTGTTGACCGCGTCACACACGGTGGACAAAAGTACATTTTATAATAATAGCAATAATATGGCTTTATCAACGGTTGCTGATTTGCATCAGGGCGATTCACTCGGTTAGAAAAGCAATGTGCTTTTATGTTATCATAGGAACTTTTAACGGCACGAATATTTTATTGACCGCATGGTAGACAAGAGTACATTTAATGTGTTATTACAAGTAGACAATGAATAAGTAAAAGCTCTTAATAGTGACTTTACAGTCCCAGAGCTGAGAAATGTTTCATGTCGTATAACTATTTGAGCATCTCAAATTATCTCGTTTTCAAATATGTACGTATGTGTAATGACGATATAGTATTTATCTAATAAAAACGGTTTTTATTCAAAATAGCAATGGATTTTATGTTAAAATTGCGAGGACGTCTCTATTATCGTGCAAGTAAAGCACCGGAAGCGGATATACTTAAGCTCGCTCGAGCTTGCCGTCGGCTTTCCGAGCGCGTGCATTTTAATATTTTTAGGAACAAACATTACAGTTTGCAAAAGACATCGATCAATAGGTCCAATAGGTCCCATTCCCCCTTGTTTAATGTAATGTGTAATCAGTCCTATACAACAAATCAAATCCATGCTTATGATCACTGTATGTATAATGATGTAAATAGAATGCTAATGTGCCATGATAAATGACCGCTACATGGAATGTACCATTCAAGTTTGTATGTGTATAAAAGTGATTCCCTGCTGAAAACAACTGAATAACATGAACCCAGAAGAAATCAAATAATATACTTACACACAAAAGCGGGGAGACTGAGAGATACATATATGATACCATATAGTTGTTGGTGTTAACGGATGTGTTGATCTTGTGCTGGTTGGCAACAAATTAAGCAAAATAAAGAAAAAATCCTTTAAGCACCAGTTAACATGGTTTTATTTGTTATTGGCTGAGTTTTAACTTTCATGTCAACTGCAACATATACATGTAAAGATCAATAATTTAAATGAAGCAATTGCTTTGCTACCGCTTGCCTTTAGCATGCAAATTTTGTAAGATGAATTTTCGAAAATTGCTTTTCCAATTATTCCTTATTCAATATTTGCATATTATACATACATACAGTGTTACTTCTTGCTGTTACTTCTATAAATTGACTTAGTTATATGAGAATTTGAAAATAATTACTTTGTGTAAATTGAGTGACAAAATATACTCTAAATTACAGTTTGTTGCTCATCATATCAATCGTATGTTTTAAGAATTACTTAAAATGTGCTTTTGTCCATTTGGTATTGTGTCGCTTATAACAGATGATAAATGATTGCAAATGGCACTTTTATCCTACTCGGTGCGAGAGGCAGCAGTTACCTTGCGATAGTAACTCCTAGTTATTAATTATAATTACTAAGTAGCTACAACTGCATGTGGCATATAAACTTGGATTTATTTTTGTCTTGTGATTAATCTTTAAAAGATTAATCTTTACATATAGGCAAACGAACTATGCAGAAGCAATGCCATGCAATTTGA